GACGGTGCCCTGAGCCGCCGCGGACCCGCCCCTGGCGCCCGCGACGGTGCCCTGAGCCGCCGCGGACCCGCCCCTGGCGCCCGCGACGGTGCCCTGAGCCGCCGCGGACCCGCCCCTTGCGCCTGCGACGGTGCCCTGAGCCGCCGCGGACCCGCCCCTGGCGCCCGCGACGGTGCCCTGAGCCGCCGCGGACCCGCCCCTGGCGCCTGCGATGGTGCCCTGAGCCGCCGCGGACCCGCCCCTGGCGCCCGCGACGGTGCCCTGAGCCGCCGCGGACCCGCCCCTGGCGCCCGCGACGGTGCCCTGAGCCGCCGCGGACCCGCCCCTGGCGCCCGCGACGGTGCCCTGAGCCGCCGCGGACCCGCCCCTGGCGCCCGCGACGGTGCCCTGAGCCGCCGCGGACCCGCCCCTGGCGCCCGCGACGGTGCCCTGAGCCGCCGCGGACCCGCCCCTGGCGCCCGCGACGGTGCCCTGAGCCGCCGCGGACCCGCCCCTGGCGCCCGCGACGGTGCCCCTGCTTCACCCGCGCCTGCACTCGCTGCAGCCGCCCCTACACCACCCAGCGTCTGCCCTTGGAGCAGCCGCCCCCACTCCTGCACTCGGTGCAGCCGCCTCTGCCTCACCCCGCACCTGCACTCTCTGCAGCCGCCCCTGCCCTACCCGCGCCGACCCTCTGTTGCCGCTCTGCGGCTTTCTCCCCGCCCACCCCCTCCTCCTTCGTCTCCCTGCAGCCGTGGGGGGGAGGGTATGGGGGTGGCGGGTGTGGGGGTGATGGGTGGTGTGCTTCCCTTCCCCTCCTCCTCCTTTCGTTCCCACTGCTGCAGCTGCCGCTGGGGGGGAGGGTGTGAGGGTGTGGGGGAGCCGGGGGAGAGGCACTGGGGTGGCGGGTGTGAGACCAACCAGCAGCCGTCCCTCCACCTCTCCTCTCTTCCCCCCTCTGCTGCTCCTGCAGCAGTGTGGGGGGGACGGGGAGGGGGAGGGTGAGGGGATGGAGGGGGTGACCAGCCAGAGCCAGCCCGCCTCCTCTCTCTCCCTGCTGCCCCTCCTGTGGTCGGGGGGGGGGAGGAGAGTAAGGGGGTGGCAGGAGTGTCTTGTTGTCGCCTGTCCCTTTGCTGCTGTACCTGCTCTGTTACCGTGCCTGCTGTTACTGTTGCTGGTGTACCCCTGCAGGTTGTGTTCTGCACAAACTCCTGCTGCAGGCAGTTATGGGGGAGTGTTAGAATATATCTGTAACTGCCTGTAGCTGTAGTTTAGTGTAGTTATTATAAACTGTTGGTGGTGCACCTTCTTTGCATGCTCTGTTTGCTATATGTACCCTAGTGCTATAGTGAACATCATTCCCATTCTCTCGTCTTGGCACAAACTCACTCGACTCCCCTTTGGCCTAGGCTACTAAGCCTAGGCCCTAAACCTAACTACCACTTGTGCTAGTATTCTAACACTTCCAACTTTGACACATCAGAGTTCGTGGTTCGTGTTTGTGCAGGTCTGCTATACATCCTGTTGTGTTGTGTTTGCTGTTAGCTACGTCATATACTGATGTTGGATGCTTCTCATAATACACCACTATGTGATTCGGAGCATAAATGCACATGACCACCGCAAGTGCAACAAAGCAAATTACGTTTCCATAAAGGTTGCCAAGGGTGGACTATAGGCACAAGCACAAATCTAAGAGGTGATAACTTTTCAACCCACTCCTGTTGGGACCCATGGTGCTGGGCACATGTACAAGCATGGTTCTGCGATGGAATGGGGAGGGAAGAGGGGATATGGCGAATAAGCGAGGGCTGGAGGTTGGAGGTACAGAAGGGCATGTATGGGAGGTGTGGACAGGGCAGAGGGGTGAGCGAAGGGGGAAATAGAGTGGGCAGAGAGGAGAAGGGGGTGAGCAAAGGGGGAAATATAGTCAGCAGGCAGGAGAAGGGGGTGAGCAAAGGGGAAAGCCAGTGAGCAGGGGGGAACAAGGGGTGTGAACAGGGGTGGTGAGAGGGATTGTGGGGAGAAAGGGTTGAACGAAGGGGAATAGAGAGTAAACAGGGGGGAAAGATAAGTGAGTCCAGGGGGAAAGAGAGTGAGCAGGGGGAGAGAGAGTGAGCAGAGGGGAAGAGAGTGAGCAGAGGGGAAGAGAGTGAGCAGAGGGGGAGAGAGTGAGCAGAGGGGGAGAGAGTGAGCAGAGGGGGAGAGAGTGAGCAGAGGGGGAGAGAGTGAGCAGAGGGGGAGAGAGTGAGCAGAGGGGGAGAGAGTGAGCATGTGAGTAAGGGAGTGAGCATGTGAGTAAGGGAGTGAGCATGGGAGTTGGGGAGTGAGCATGGGAGTAAGGGAGTGAGCATGGGAGTTGGGGAGTGAGCATGGGAGTAAGGGAGTGAGCATGGGAGTAAGGGAGTGAGCCGGGGAAAAGAGTGGCGAGCAAAGGGGGGAAGAGGGCGAGAGGGGGGAAAATGGGTGAGAAAGGGGGAAAGTGGGGTGAGGACAGGGGGAGTGAGCAGGGGGAATGGGAGTGAACAGGAGAGAAGAGAGTGAAGGTGGGGGGAAGAGAGTGAGCAGGGGGGAGGAGAGAGAGCAGGGTGGACGAGAAGAAGGACGGAGGGCGAAAGTGAAGAGAATGGGAGGATCGGAGGCAGAGGAGGGGAGAATGAGCGAGGAATGGAGGGGTGCGGAGTTGGGTAGGCTGGGAGGCCGGTACGATGGGACAGGGGAAGAGAGGAAAGGGGAACACGGAAAGAGGTATTTCTGTGTGCGAGGATGTTGGTGAGAGTGAACGTAGGGTGGGGGAATGGAGGAAATAAAGACGGGCAATGGGAGGGGTAGAGAAAGCGAAGGGCGGGGAAGCGAGAATGAGCAGGGGGGGATCGAAGGCGACGGAAGGAGGTGAGCGAAGGCGACGGGCGCGTAAGCGAAGGCGACGCGCGGGGAAAGCGAGGCGACGCGCGGTGGAAGTGAGGCGACGCGCGGGGGAAGCGAAGGCAACGCGCGGGGGAAGCGAAGGCAACGCGCGGGGGAAGCGAAGGCGACGCGCGGGGAAATCGAAGGCGACGGGGGGGAAGAAGCGAAGGCGACGGGCGGGATAAGAAAAGGCAACGGTCATCCGAAAGCGAAGGTGGCGACGGGCGGGGGAAGCGAATGCGACGGGCTGCGGAAGCGAAGGCGACGACGAGGGTGACGGACAGAGGAAGCGTCGGACCTGGGGAAAGGAAAGCGAGGGCGAGGGGATGGTTACGCTTGGCCGAACGTGTGGGTTATGCGAACCCTGCATTCTACACCATATCTCATCGCACGCCGCAGAATATCCTTACGCTTCGAACTCCCATTCCGCATCCTACACCATCGCATCGCGCCTTGATCCCTCTAGAGTCAACGGCCACGCCCTGCCTACACGTTTTCTATATTATGCCCAGTTTTAGTCTGCATGCTAGGATTGTCAAAGTGTGCACAGTTTGGTAGGCACGCTCAACTCTGGTTGTTGTGGGAGGCACACCATCCATCACAAACCTTCTTTGAAGCGACACAACTTTGTCGCAAACTGGTTTCGCGAGTGAAAGGGTTTCGCAACCCAACCGAACTCCCTCTGGCTGCCTTCCGAACCTAGTTTTTTGGCGTTGACTTCCGTTGAGTAATTCAGGTCTTGGGCTTTAACACTGAGTTTGGGGTATACACCCCCTCTACTGCTATCGTGTCAGGGAAACTCACAACCTAGAAATCCTAAGGCACAGCAAGCACAAACCTACAAGTCTATCCCCACAGCCTGGGTATTCTACAGGTAACTAGGGAAGCATCTCACCCAGTCGCCCAGGGAGTGACTGCCTTGGCATGCAGCAAGGCAGCAGAGCGCCTTGGTGGCATGTGCTGCAGTGCACGGCACCAATTGAGGTGCGCACAGTGAACACGCCCTTGCTCCACCATTGCAACATGTGGGTGGCCCTTACAGCGCGCTGCACTCCCCCTTCCCGCTGCACTCCCCCTTCCCGCTGCACTCCCCCTTCCCGCTGCACTCCCCCTTCGCGCTGCTCACCAGCCTTGCCCTACCACACATGCTGCACGGCACAAAGCCACGTGCCTTCCCTGCCAGCCCACCTGCACAATGCTGCACCTGCATGCTGCACTGCATGCTGAGGCATCCTGCTCCCATCACTCCATCCCCACCCACTGCCACCCCCATCCACGGCCCCCTTCACTCCCCCTCCCCTGGTGCCACGTGCCTGCCATGTGCCACGTGCCTGCCATTGCCACATGCCTGCCATGTGCCACGTGCCTACCATGTGCCACGTGCCTGCCATGTGCCACGTGCCTACCATGTGCCACGTGCCTGCCATGTGCCACGTGCCTGCCATGTGCCACGTGCCTGCCATGTGCCACGTGCCTGCCATGTGCCACGTGCTTGCCCGCGCCTTATTCCAGCGAGCATCACTCCGCACGCCACACGTCCCACGCCCCGCCCCATGATGCACCCCTTGCCTAACGCACTGCTGCCAGCACAAAGCACACAGCGCGTACAGCTGCCCACGCGCTGCTGCCACGCACAGCAGCTCCCTAACCCCGCCCCCTTCCCCTGCTTCCACGCAGGGTCCACAGTGGGAAACAGGCAGTAGAGGGCATGGGGCAGCAGGGCAGGGGGCAGCAGGGGAGGCTGAAGGCAGTCTCGAGAGGAGGCTGCCTCGCAGTCCGCGATCACAGTGGGTTAGCTTGCTCGCCCGCCGCTCCTGCTCCCGCTCGCGCACTGCTGCCGCGCCATACGCGCTCTTGGCGTGCCTGGGCTGCTGGAGGGCTGGGCGGCTGGGCGGCTGGGCGGCAGGATGGATGGACGTGGGGAGAATGGATGGACGCTACTTGCATGGCTGGTCCACGAGTTGCCTCGAGAACCGCTACGCTGGAAAAACGCAAAGTTAAACGCCTCGTGCGCCTTGGACTGGACCAGCAGCCCCACGAGCGAGCAGCCTGGAAAATAAATCAAATAGAGTGGCGTATCCCTCGCCCACTACCCCGTCACGCGCGCGCGCCTGTCAGTCCGTCTCGCACGTCCGCCGCTGCCACGCGAACCCGTGCTCCTCCAGGCGCTCGCCCGCGCCGTTAGGCAGCGCGCGCATCCAGTCCCAGTCCGCCGCGATCTTGCGCAGCACGCGCAGCTTGGAGTCCAGCCCGAAGCAGCACGTGGCGTGCACCGTCACCAGCTCCGCCAGCCGCGCGCCCATCTCGCAGAACCCGCCGAACTGTGCCGTGGGCAGATAGCGCACGGTGAGCGGCGTGGCGGTGCGCGTGAAGGGGTTGGCCTCGGGGCGGATCCAGTCGAATATCTGCTGGATGCGGTGCTTCGGTAGCCTGGCGCGCAGCGAGGGGGAGAGGGAGAAAACGGGGAGGAAGGGAATGGAGAGCGAGTAGAGTGAGTGGGAGTGAGAGTGGGAGCGAGTGGGCCAAGCAGACGTGGTGAGGGAGAGGCGCGAGAGGCAGCAGCATTGCGGCGAGAGGGCGAGAGGGGCTCGAGGGGGGCTCACCGCTTGTGCCAGGCGATCCAGTCGTCGAAGAACTTGAGCATGCGCGTGTTGCTGCGCGCCGCGTAGAAGCCGCCGTTGGCGACGACGGCGCGCGAGTTGGCGAACCACCAGTCGACGCTCATGTGCATGTCCTCGGGCGCCGCGAGCAGCAGCTGCGGCAGCGGGTTGCGCAGCCAGAGAATGTCGTTGTCCGTGAACACCACGTCGTACCCCAGCGCCAGCATGCTGCGCACCACGTGCACCTTGCGCCACACGAGGTGGATGTAGGCGGGCGTCATGAAGTGCTTCTGGTCGCCGCTGAAGTCCTCCTTCTCCTCTGCGTCGTCCTGCCAGTCGAAGTAGCAGTGCAGCCCCAGCGAGCAGCACTCGTCGAAGCTCGCGTCGTCGTACGCCACCACCACCAGCCGATCCACCAGCCGGTTCAGCCCGGCCTCCGCCTCCGCCGCCTCCTCCGCGCGCGCCTGCTGTTCGACGAGGCGGAGGCGGTCGAGGAAGAAGCGCATCATGGGCGCCCACGCCTCCGACAGCGCCGTCACGATCACCGTGCGCGACAGCGACGACGCCGCCGACGCCTCCACCACATTCTCGGCCGCCGACTTGCCGTCGCCGCCGCCATCTGCTGCCCGCGCCGTCATTTGTTGAGGCGCCTCGGAGAATGGTCGTTCTGGATCGGGCAGCCCGCTGGGCCCGCCGTACTCCTCTTCCAACGCCGCCGCCAGCGCCGCCGCTGCCGACGGATCGCCGCCGGCGGCCGTTAATGCTCCGTCAAGCACCTCCTTGAGCGTTCTGGTGACGACCGACGCGCGCGGACGGGGAGGCGGGTGGAACAATGGAGCGAATTGCGTGACAGAGATAAAGGAAAAGGAAAAGAGGCGCAGCGGAAGCAGTACGACAACCACGTGAAACGAAAATCGCACCGCAATTGGCAAGGCTTGGGCGATCGACGAGTCTGCGAAATTGAGCAACGCCGAGGCTTGCAAGATCCACGCTGGATGGGATAACCACACTTGACTGACCAGCAATACGTTGCGAGAGACGGCGAGGCGACATACCTGCATTTTGAACAGGTGGCAGCTGGTCGATTGGCGAGTGGTTGGTCGGAAGGCGATTGTTTGGCGGAAGAGGCGGTAAGCGACGCGAGGAACGACTGGGGTGGTCTGTCGGACTCGTCGAGGGCTCGTCGCGGCACGGATGACGACGACAACCACTCTAATTCTGGTCTTATCGCACCATTGCTACGGCCAAGGTCTCGTATTTGGCCGCCGCACAAGACCTCGCGAGTCTGATCCAATAGTACTCTCGCGGTCCTCGCTGGAACCGTCGCTACTCTAGGCTTCGCAGGGTGCAACCGCACGGCGACGAGGCCGAGCGACGCGACAGTGAAGACGGTAAGCAGCAGCCAGAGGCGCGGCAGTCCGAAGTTGCGCATGGTGAGGCGCGGCCAGGAGGCGGTGGGGCTGAGCGATATGGCGCAGAGCACGGACGCATACGGCGACGCGAAGTGCGACGAGGCGGTGAGCGGGTGGGCGCTGCTGTGTCTGGACGAGGAGTGGTGTGAATGCTGTTGCGACCTAAGGAAAGGCGGGGTTAGCGTGGACGAACATCTACTGTCGCGCTCCAACGGCCCTGGCTCTGTGCACGCTCCCATCTAGAAACCGGCTGATTGCCGATGTGAAATCCCACTGCGCGTCGTGCTTCCAGCTAAACCTAACTCACGCAGATGCACCTACCTTCGGAAGTAATAAAGCTGTACGCTTTGGTATACTTTTTGCTTCGTTAACGTCGGAGGCACCCAGCTGCAACTTTATAATTGGTCGTAAAGGGGAAAAGAAGGAGAGCGTAAAGCGCGGCAGGTCTGATGCTGGAGTGCAACTTATCAAGATGGCTGCTAACGTGGGAGCAGAGTTGGTTCATCATGGGCAAAGCCGCAAGAAACTCACAACGACGACCTCCTCGCTTCACTCTTCGCTTCCCTCCAGAATCATCTTGGCCTTCCTCACCGCCTCTTCTTGCTCTTGTTTGTTACTCACCGATTAGGTTTCGGTGGCTTCGCACGGCTGTGTGAGTGACCATCACCACCACTGGCCAAGCCCAGGAGGACCGCAGCACACCATCCCCCATAACGCGAACTGATCCGTTTCGCTGCCTCCGCCCACTGCCATCTCCAGGCTCGGCGTGCTATTCCATCTGGCTGGGTGCTGCTGATGGATGCCTTGGCCCACCCATCCCCTTCGCGCCACGCCTTGTCTCCCGCAATCGGTGATGAGGGCGGTGGTGGTGGTGGGTGAGGCACTGAGGCGCTCGCCGAACTAGGCTTCTGTTCTAAGACGCCAAGGGAAGAGGTTCGGCAAGCTACAAATCGGACAACAAGCCAAGAGAAGAGGCGCGGAGACACTGTGGAGGAGGAGCACGTACGTTGTTGAGCCGCACCGAAGCGCTAGGGCGCGGGAATACCCGCAACGGTTTGCGTTGTGGGGCCCCGATGCGGCTTGACTTTGATGAATGCCTGAACCCAGATGCTTCTAGTACCCTTCAAAATCAGTCATTATAGTTAAAAAAGACTGCATCGTAAGCGCACTTCTATAAGAAAGAAACCTGAAAACTTATCTTGAGAAATCGCGACATATCAGAGTCATACCTCACATTCCATTTACGCCACAGCTGCACTTAATCGTTTCAGGGCACGAGAAACAAACTTGGAAGGTCCAAGAGGCTACTTTGTTAGCAGAGGTCGTGGTTTGGGCAGGAGGGCAGTCACCTAACCACCAGAGTACGCCGGTCCGGTAGGCCTAGGGCTTCTTCATCACGACCAATCAGCTTCACATTCTTTGAACCATACCGAGCGCATCCACACAAGCACATTATTGTAACTTTTTACTACACTTCATGCATAGACGACTGTATCCTTAAGGATTATGGAACACATGATACTCTATGAAATTTTTGTCTAATGTATCTCAACTGACATAATAAAAAATCATCCTTCTAATATGTTTTACCACAATTCCAATTATTTTACCAGAGAAAATCATAACGTACCTATTTCCTGCTTTTTATCTTGCAATAAGAAAAAAAAGTATACAAAGAAATTATGAAAACAAGAAACATTTCCCACATTAATTTGCGCGTGGTGAATCTAGCTATGTATGAAGAATAAGAGAACTGAGGAAGCGAGTGTTTGTGGATCCGTGTTATAGAGATTCTTTCGAGTGCTTCTGACAGATTCAAGAGTTTGTGTCCAGCAAGGCGTGTCGATGCCACTCATGCCCGAGGTCAGCGAATGGGAGAGATTGGAGCTTTAGGCGGGCAGCTCATGTGGCACAAGTGTTGGACGAAAGGCCGCCATGTTCCAAGAAGTTGTGCAATAGAAACTTGTTTCGCTGCCCGTGAATCCGTCACTCACTCGTTCCTGAATATTTCCCTCCAAAAATTTCCCGCCAGCCCCTCCTGCCCCACAGGCCCCCAACACCGACTAACAATATAGATCACGATTCACCTCGCGTTCTGTTCGCCTTGCAAGCTCAACTCACATCGGGATCTCCGCTCCCCAGCAAAGTAGGTACTGTGATTGAGTCTTCAGGGTGCATCCATCCAGGGTTAATCCTTTCAGCGATACGACATTAGGAGACCTGCTCCACTCGCACTCTAGACAGACCCTGAGCCGCTACATGGCTCCTAATGCCATGTCGCAACCATCGCAGCCCTCATCAGCCGGAGGAGCTTCCGGCAAGCAGGCGGGTCCGTTCAAGCCGGATCTGACGAAGCCGCTGGTGTTCCAGGTGGGGTATTTGGGGGAGCACTACGATGACTGGGTGCATCAACCCATCATCAGCCGGACGGGTCCGCGCCTCTTCGGGCCCGACTGGATGGAGTTCTTCACGCAGACGCACTGGTGGATGATCCCGCTCGTCTGGCTCCCCGTCATCGCCTTCGCCGAGTACCGCGCCGCGCTCGCCGGCACGCCCAAGGTGCTCGTCGCGCCGTTGTTCGCGGTGGGGCTGGGGGTGTGGACGCTGATGGAGTACAGCCTGCACCGCTTCCTCTTCCACTACCGCACCACGGGGTACTGGACCAACACGCTGCACTACCTGCTGCACGGCTGCCACCACAAGCACCCGCAGGACCGATATCGTCTCGTCATGCCGCCTGTGCTCTTCGCGACGCTGTCCACCGTGGTGGCGATACCGTTCTTCGTGGTGTTCCCCGGGTTCCTGGTGTGGCCGGTGTACGCGGGCGCCATCTTCGGGTACATCTGCTACGACATGACGCACTACTTCGTGCACTTCGGCGTGCCGCTCGAGCTCGAGTGGATCCGCTTCCTGCGGCGCTACCACATGGCGCACCACTTCAAGGAGTACAACGCCGGCTTCGGCATCACCAACTCCTTCTGGGACAAGGTCTTCGGCACCTACCCCGCTGACGACCCCAAGAAGGCGGACGCCGCCGGCAAGGCGGACGCGGCGGGCAAGGCAATGTAGGGTTGCTGCCAGCCTTTAGACTGGTTTAGGGTTTCGGGGCTGGGGTAGATCTTCATTTCTAGGCCTTTTTAGAGACCCTCCGAGTGGCTATGGTTCAGATCCAGGTGTACACTCTCTTATGCTCGTAGGATGAACATAATGGCTGTTTCTAGCCTGTACTCTACATGGGCCGTGGGTGTCCCCAGGCCTGCTTGCCATTGTTGATACTAAGACCTGCTCTCCACGAGTGGGACATGACCCTTGACTCTGAATGAGCTCAAGTCCCAACTCCTGGTATTGTTCAAGCCATTTTGACTCCAAGCCAAGCACGTTTAGGGGAGGGACGACCATACCAGGACATGTGGGTTCATCACTTGCCAGGGTTCATCACTTCGCCCGTAAATATTTCAGGACAAACAAGTACAGTTTTACTGTAAGTTTCAAATGGACATTTTTTCTCCAGCAGAACCAACGTTCGTCAAATGTGGTGATCTCTCTGCATTGGGCTATGTGTTGCTTTGATGGGATGTTTTATTGCATCTATACACATTAGAAGCTAAACTACCATCAATGAACCCAGCCAACCAAACAAGTTGGCACAACAACCACCCTTGTCCCTTGGAAGGAGCAGGCAGGGCAGGCAGGCAAGTCAGACAATGTCAAAAGCCGATTATATCACGCAACGCAAGGAAGGCTGGCACGGCTTCTTGATCAAATTTTCTGGCGAAAAGAAAGCAGTGTGTGGGCCGGCCTGCCACTGTGCAGGGCCGTGAGGGCGACTGCTTGAGGTAGCCCACTGTTTCGGCTGGTGGGAATCGACTCCGCTGCACCACAGCACGGCAACCGGACGGATCAGTTGAAACAGTCAAGATAGGCAAACGGCGCAGAAAGGACTCTTCATGGATTGGTTGGCAGGCAGGCAAAGAGATGGAGGGGGGGCCTACTTGCAAGGAGAGGATGAATTCCCTCGTGACTTGATTCTTGCTGTAGCTCATGGGATGGCTGGACGAGGATGTGAACCAGTGCACGTACAGCACACTGCGTGGCTCCACTGCCTTTTGGTCCAGCATCTGCACCAAGGAGGGAGAGAGCAGCAGGCGCTGATGAGACTTGGCATGGCATTACAAGTCACCTCAATCGGAGCAAGGCAGGCAGCCAGGAGCATGCAAGCAAAAGGGTGCTGGAAGGGAATAGGTGCTTACAGCGAGGATGGTTTGAATGTAGCTCTCGTCGGGAATCTGCCAGCAACGGAAGGGAGGGAAAAGCATGGAGAGATTGTGAACCGGTGTAATGCTTGTGCATGCATGCAAGAGTCTGGTTCAAGGGAAGCCAAGGCATAAAAACGAGATGGGAGAGGAAATAGCATCAAAGAGTTGCACATTTGACTGGCAGTGGAGGCAGTTGCGCGCACCTCAGCGTTGGTTTTGACGAAGGTCTCATAGAACTTGCTGTCCTCCACCACCTTGGCTGCATGCGCACGTGTCAACGCGAACCACTGCGCACGTACGCGTGGAAGGAGGGTAAGGCGGGATTGGAACAAGTGCAAGCCACAGGGGAGGACAGCCGAAGGTGAGCAGAGTAGCAGAGGTGCCTTTTGAGTCGACTCAGTGGTGAAACAACAGGTGCAGGGTGGAAAAAGGATCCCATAGCAGCAGCAACCCCTACTGCAGTCCAGCCCTATCCAACACCTCTCCTGCGCCGCTCAAAGCGCCCCACCTGCGCCCCCACACGCGCCTCACCGCGGCCCCCTCGCGCCTCATCGCGCCCCTCAAACGCGTCGCCTGCGCCCCCCACGCGGCTCACCTGCGATCCCTTTTTGAAGTCTTGGCCCTTGATGACGGGCGCCATATCCTTGCGGTACCGCCACACGCTCGCATGGCTGCTCGCGCCCACGGGGAAGAGGGGCGGAGAGGGACGGGGGATGGGGACGGGGAGGTGCACGGGGGAGAGGACAGATGGTTAGCCGGAGGGACAAATGGGTGGAGCAGGGAGCTGCTGCGAAAGAGGCAGGCGGGAGAGGTGAGGGAGCGGCGAGGTGAAGGAGGGGGGAGAGAAATAGAGAAAAATTGTCACGTGCTGAGCTTCAAAAATATGTATTTTCTTCGTTTTTCCTCGTCTTTTCGCACGCTACAACTTCACATAAGCTCGCTACAGTGCGCTACCTCGTATCGAAGCATACCTTGTAACGAAGCTTTTGTCGGAGGCCATGAGGTAGTCGAAGACGTGCGTGAAGTTGAACAGCGGCAGGCAGCTGCGCCCACCACGGAAAGGGGAAGCGGAGCGCAGAATGGGGGGAGAGGAAAAAAGAAACAGGAGGCAGCGGGAGTGGGGAGGGGGGCGAGGAGAGATGCATTGAGGCGGTGTGCGTGGCACATAGTCTTATCATCCAATTGCTGCCTTTCGGCTGGTGACACGTGCAGCGACAGTGCGCTAGCAGCTTGAAGCCCCCCACAACCTTGCCAACCTCCCCCGTAAGGCGCGAAACTCCCCCCCCCCCCAAAAAGCAAACTCTACCCCCTTTCCAACACTCACGACTCCGACAGCAGCACGAAGCGCTGGTTGGCGGGATCCGCGAGCGCCGCAGCGAGCAGCCGCCGCTCCGCGCGGATGAGGTTGGGACCGCCCCACGTGATCTGGACGGGGGACATGGGGGGTGGGGCGCGGAGAGGAGGGAGAGGGAGAGCGGGATTGGGCGAGCGAGAGACGGCAGGAGAGGCGGACGCGAAGGAGTAGGGATCACGACGGGCCGAGACACGGCAAGTCGGGACATCATGGCGCACCACCCGTGCGGACGCCTGGCAGACGAACGCCGGCGAGGAGAGGGGCCTGCGGAGTAGCGACAGTTGGGGGAGACTTACAGGAACGCTGGGTATTTGGCGGCCGCGGAAGACGGAAGAGTTAACGTGCTTGTCGCACTCGAAATCGGCGGTGGAGGCGTGGATGTAAATGGAGTAGCGCCCCTCGTGGCCCTGCCGCGCGCACATTGGGGACGATGCGGAAAGGCACGAGGAGAGGGGGAAATAAGAGGCGATCGGGAGAGACGAGGCGGGGTAAATAGCCGGACAGAGCGAGATAACGGCGAGCGAAACAGAGCGCTTATCGCGACACAACAGGTTGTCCTCTTGAACCGTGCCTAATAAGTCAAGCTTATATAAAAACAGGCGCAATGGAATATGCGAGACTCAACGAACAATCTCCAGGAGCAGCGAGTGAAGCAATATGCTAGGCGGATAATTAATGCGACGCACACAAGGACTCGCGCGCACCTGGAAGAATCTTTGCCAGACTCGCTCGAGCGGTAGCGGCCCTCTGACGAGAAAGAGGAACGCGATCTTGGGCTGCACGGCGGCGAGATCCGTCTGCGTGGGTTGCTCCATGGCTCGTCGAAACATGTCCTGATCCACCGCGTCGATGTTCCCCGTGTCCCACTCCGTCCGCGACTCCGACCCGCCGCCTACTACCAGTAACCCCAAGTACACTACCCCGGTGGCTATGAGTAGATACGACACGTTGATTACTAACATCGACCAAATGCGAGCCCGCGGGAATCGGAATGACACACGCAATGCCATTTTTGCTCTGCCTGAAGTGGGCTGTTAGACGCGGGGATAACAAAGGCTGAAGCTGAAATTTTTTTATGGACAGCTTTTGATTGCTTCTTCAAGAACTTCAGTTAGGAGCAATCGGTGGACGTAGATCAGGGGCGCGTGGCTGGCAGAGCGTGAAGTAAAACTGCTAATTTAGGTGGCGAAGCTGCAAGAAATTGATCTCTGAAACACATTCATGAAAGATGCACCAGTGGCGAGTCGTGAGGTATAAATTGCTAATATACCTGGCCAAGCTGGTGAGCTGTGATCGGAAATGTGCTCATAAACAATCCGCTGCCTGTAGTGAGTGAAACAAAGCAGCTGACCATTTACTACCCGAGACCGAGACGAACTAGGGAAACTGACTGGGAGGAGGGAAGAAGAGGAACAGCGAGGCGTAGGGCAGGGAGAGCTGTGTGGACTTGGGGGAGGAGGGGCGGGCGAGGCATGTGAGGCGGGAGATGTGGGTCAGGCGGGTGCCAGGTGCGCACGCCTGACTACACTTTTGCCGCCGCTTCTGACTGGCCTCGGGTTTGGTTGGTTGCTCCCGTCCGCTGACTGCCCTCGGGAGTGCCGCCACGGCTGTCTCTCCGCCCTTGCGATGGCGCACGGCGCTGCTCCAGCAGAGCACTGATCAACCTCAGCCCTCACGGATAGCGCGCGCGTGAGTTCCAGGCGGACGGCGGCGCACTCCTATAATTGCGTGTCTATTGCGCGAATGGGGATGCTTCCTTCCCTGCTTAGGCAGAACCACGAGTCAGCTTCGGCACTCCCCTTCCCGAACACTACTTCCCTCCCTTCCCTGCAAGAGCATCCCCTGCGGTGCTGTCCCCCAATGCGGACCCTTCCCGAGGACGACCAGCGGAGACTGTTGTAGCCCCGGGGGACTTCTCTGCAAGACTTCGGGTCACCGCAGTTCCGAGCCAATCAGATTCAACCGAAGTGGCAAGACAGGCAAGTTTTAGGTTCGGTGGCTTATATGGGACGTGGTCGCGGCACGGGGGGAGTTCTGGTTGGGCAAGTCGGTATTGGCACACACGTTTGCAACATCTGATTGTAGACGCGGTCAGCGGGAGATCCCAAGTGTGCGGCCCAGCAGGGCAGAGAGCTCAAAGTTCCCAAGGTGACGGAAAGTTCTGCTCGGTGCTCAAAGTTCCCAGCATCAGCTCATCTCGGTCGTTCAGTTCAATCAGGGCTTGACGTCCAGAATACGCGTTGCCATTGCGGCTCACAATTATTTGTTCGTGAATTAAATTTAGGAACTAAAAACTGCTACGTTATTTCTAGCCATGGAAGTAACATTAATATCCAGACCCAAAATAGCCTCCTGGAGGCGGTCCTGAACCTGGAGGCCCTGCGTTTGAACCTTGCTGCCCCCCGCCATAACCAGAATAATAGCCTGCATTAGCTGCACCTGGGGCAGGTGGTTGCTGGTACCCATTTGCTTCATACGACTGGTACTGCCCAGCACCTGGTGCTCCTGGCCCAGCTGCCCCTGCACCTGGGGAAGGGTTTGTACCAGGGGGGTACTGCTGCTGCTGCTGCTGGTACTGCTGCTGCTGTTGCTGCTGTTGCTGTTGCTGCTGTTGCTGGTGATAGTTGTAGCCAGCGCCCCCTACTGATCCTGCACCAGGAGCAGAGTACCCACCAGCATGTGCCCCGGGATTGGGTGCAGGCTGGTTCCATGCGCTGCCAGCGGGGGGAACAGCAGCAGCAGCGTTGTAACCGTAACCCGGGGTTTGGCTGTACTCGTTTGCTCCACCCTGCCCTCCATAGCTGTGCTGCGCTCCTTGCTGCTGCTGCTGCCCCCACCCCTGATTGCCAGTCTGCTGCTGCCCATAGCCCTCATAGCCGTACCCCCCGCCTCCCTGACTCACACCCTGACCTTGTGGTACCGCCTGAGCCTGCACCTGACCCGGCACCTGAGCCTGCACCTGACCCGGCACCTGAGCCTGCACCTGACCTGGCACCTGAGCCTGCACATGCCCCTGCGGCTCACTCTGAGCTTGAGGCGGCGCCTGGTGCTGGGGCTGCTGGGGCTGGGGCTGCTGCGGCTGGGGCTGCTGCGGCTGGGGCTGTTGCTGCTGGGGACGAGGCTGCTGGGGACGGGGCTGAAGCTGCGGCTGCAGCGGGGGGCGGGGCTGGGCGGGGGGAGGTTGGAACTGGTGGGGGTGCTGCTGGCTGAGCTTGAGGTACACCTGGGCGCGCTGCTGCGCCTGCCGCGACGACAGGCTTGACGCCAGCGCTGTGAACCGCCCGCGGATCTCCTCCATGCGCTGGGGGGGGGGGGGGGGGGGGGGGGGGGGGGGGATGGCGGGGAGATTGGCGGCAGAGAGAGGATGGGGAGGAATGCGCGGTAAAGAGAGGCGAGAGGAACTGCAGCTTCAGAGTCAAACACATGACACAACATCAACCTACCATCTGCACCAATCACATACCCCTCCACACACGCCCTTCCCCCTCCCCGTTCCCTAACTTCCCATTTCCCCAGCTACTTCCCCGTCCCCTCCCTCCAGCCGCGCACGCACCAGGGTGTGGCGGTCCGTCTCCTCCTTCTCCTCTCTCGCCTGCGCCTGCTGCAGCGCGCTCGTCTCCGCCGCCACCACCGCCTCTAGCTCCTCCACCGACGATGGCAGCGCTCCCTGTGGCGGCAGCTCAAGCATCGGCATGCCTGAAGGGGAGGGGGGACAGGTGCAACGGCGGGGGCAGCAGGAGGAGGGCGCGGGGGATGAGTGGAGCAGCGCGGAAAGGGGAAGGCGGGGAAAGGAGAGAGGCAGACGCTAGATTTACCAGCAATAAGTCGATCAGAGGTTTGAGCGTACAGCAGGCCACGGCTATGGCTATGTTCATGCCTATGGTTATGACTTTGGCTGCGGCTGTGGCCAATGCCATACGTGCACGCACTCACCTGCACCACCCATACCACTCGATTCTACCTGTCCCCCATACGCGCCCAAGGCGCCCCCAGGAAGCATCGCTCCCATCGGCCCCATCGGTCCCATTGCCCCCATCGCCCCTATCTGCCCCATGGGGCCAACCGCGCCCATCCCCCCCATGGACCCCATTGCGACCAGCGCCCCCCCATCCGCCGCCATCCCCGTTGCGCCCACCATCGCCCCTCCCGCCTGCCGCTGCGCCTCCAGCTGCGCCGCGATCAGCCTCAGCGTCGCGTCTTCCGCCTCCCCGCCTATCACCATCTCCGCCTCCCCCGCCGCCTCCGCGGTCGCCGTCGCCCACATGCGCTGCTGCTGCTGCAGCTGCTGCTGCGCGGGGTCGTGCGCCAGCGCCGCCAGCGCCATCTGCACCGCCGCCGGCCCGCCCAGAATCCCGCCGCCCTTCCGCAAACTATCCAGCTGCAGCTGGTCAATATACCCGCGCACCACGCTCTCCCCCGCCGCCAGCGTGTCGCGATCGGCGGCGGAAATCTTGACGATAAACGCGCCGTCGCCGACGACGGGGTCGTCTTCGAGTTGGATGCGGCAGCTGGTCTGCTTCTCCAGGCCCTGCACGACCATGCCCGCCGTCCCGATGATTCGCGACCGCATGCGCTTGTCCGCCACCCCGATGCTGATTGCGAACGGGTGCGACGCGGACGGCGCATGGCGCTTTCCGCCGCCCCCGCGCCCGCCCCCCTCTCCGCCGAACCCTCCGCCTCCGCCCCCGCCGAGGGTAGTGGGGCACCCCTGAAGGAAGAATCGGGACAATCGAGAGAAAAAAATGAGCTGCGGTGAAGGGATGGAAAATTAGGGTTTTGGACCAGTCGCGAATGTTATATTTGCGCTAGGTCTTAGACTAACTGCTCTGACGACTCAACTAGGCCTGCGACGACAGCCATGTTAGCAATGGATACCGACATTCAACGACCTCATTCCTTCAGCCATCCGCGCAGCCCGCCTCCGCGCACCTGAGTGGGGTGCCCCGTCTCCCCGCAGATGCGGCACGTGAGGTCGTCCTCGCGCCGCTTCTTCCAGTTGCGCTCCGCCGCCTTCGCCTTCGCCTCCCACGCCTTGCTGTACTTCCCGCCGAAATCCGTCGGTACATCTGTCCCCGCATCATCGCGCTGCCTTCCGCCTTCCGCATCGTCCCCGCCCTTCCGCTTCTCCGCCTTGCCCGCCGCGTGCGACTGCGCGGGCGGCGTGTAGCCCTTGGAGTAAACGCTCTTGAAGAACTCGTCGTCGTCGCCCTCGCCGCCTTGCACGCCCGCCATCGCGGCGGTCTAGCTGACCTAGCGAGCACGAAGCAGTAGCGGTGGCGGAAAGCTGACGAAATGGAAATGGTAAAGCGGAACGATGATGGAGGGAGAGAAAATAATGGAATCAATTCGTTGGGTGTGCCATTTAGTGTGATGTTTTAGGGTGGAAAGTAACCTTTGTGCGGTTCAGAGCGGTTGTGAAATAACTGCTAGAATTTAGCTATGTAGTGTACCTGCAGAAATTATCCGCTTCAATTCGGACAACATTCGATATAAAACTCCTCGCCATCACAGTACGTCCCACATGATCCAGAAGCCAATCACGGATTCCACAATTCCTTTTTTCTCAAGCACACCCCGTTTCCTCCTGATCTTCTCCCCACCCCACGACTTCCTTTCCTGCCTCTTTACAGGGGAATTCACTGCTGGATTTGCTGCCCAGTTTGCCACAGGATTCGTTTTTGCGACACTCCCGCGAGCCTTTGCAGGACTCGCCTGAGAAATATTCTGACAGATTCCATTTCCGCATTTCTTTTTGCCGTTTGATTAGTCCGCGCTCGCGTCAGGCAGGGAGGTTTCTAGTGAGCAATCACGATGGGGCGGCAGAAGGGCGGCGATGCGACGCGGTCCAAGAATCGACCAGCGAGCAGCAGGTGCGCCGCACCCTCGGGTGGTACGCAATGCGTTTGTCACGAGCGCGCCCGCAGCGGTGCAGGAGGCTCTAGGCACGAAGGAGGCGGTATGCGCGTGATCTCGCGAGAGCTAGCTTGCGAATTAGGACGACGGCCCGAATCGCGCTTCGTCACGCATCATGGCTGCCGCATGGTCCGCTTTTTCCACTTCCTGTCGACCCAGTGCCGCTTCGTTGAAAATCAGGAAGGTTCGCCTGGCGAGGTTGCGTGTTGGCTCGGCGTGAATCCATGCGTCTCGGATCCGCATGGTGATCTTCGTATTTGATGTCGCCGCGTCGCGACGAATTCTGGTGGAACTGAATGATTGACACGAAGATGCCATCCGCCTTCTCCCCCATCTATATCAACCCCCCAACCCAATCCCCCCTCCCCACCCCTCCTTTCTCCCCCATCCCCGCTGCTTTTTCCCACACCCTCCCGTCCTCTGCCCATTCCCGCGCCCCCTCCCGGTGTCCCTCCCCGCGCCCTTCTCTTGCCCTCCTTGGCGCCGCTGCTGCTTCCGCTAATCCTCCATCCCCCATACCCTCTTCCCTATGCCCTCTCCCTTCTCCCCTTTCCCCCGTCCCCCTGGTTTCCGCAGTCTCGCCGCCTCCCTGCTGGCAGCGGGCGCAGGCAGCGCGGCAGGCGGAGCTGGTGGCGCCCCCCGCCCAGTGGGGTTCGGGGGATACGTGGGCAGTGCGCGGGTGCAGACAGCAGCCGCGGGGGGGTCTGCGGGCGGAAGGGAGACCGCGGAAGAGGGGGGAGGCGGAGGGAGGGAGGGGCAGGGGGGAGCAGCGGAGCCATCTGCAGGCAGTGGGGCAAAGGAGCTGGTCATTGGGGCGGTGAGCGCTGGCAGGGGGAGGGGGCAAAATAGAGAGGAAAGAGGGCGCTCGCCTCCACCACTCCCCACCGCTTATCACCATGCCCTTCATAACCCTGCATGCGCTACATGCCACCGTATCACCACAATTGACCACTTGGGTGCTCGCCTCCACCACTCCCCACCGCTTATCACCTCTCCCCGCTCTGCGTGCCTGCTGTGCGGTTATGAGCAGGACGTGGGCGGCGAGGCAGCGGCGCATCTGAGGCGGCTGGCGAAGAAAGACGCCACCACCAAGGTGAGTAGCAGCAGCATGGGGAGCGGCAGGAGCAAGGGGAGCGTTGCAGAAAGAGGGCTTTTGGGTTGGGAGCAGGCAGGTGGGCTGTGATGGAGCTTGGTTGGGCTTGCGAATGCACACTGTGGTGCTATCATAAGAGCTATCATAAGTGCACACGCAAAGGAGAGTGGCTGTTCACCGGCACTTACACGTGTGCACTTGTGATGCGCTCTCATTTCTCCGCGCATCCCCCAAGCCTGCCGCCTCTGCACTTCCACATCTCACCAACCCCGCTCCCCTTTCTCACATCTCTCCGCCCACTCTCTGCACCACGTCCCTCCGTGCCTCACTGTGTGCCCTGCTCTCAGCTGAAGGCACTAGAGGCGCTTCAGGGGGTGCTGGGCGGCAGCAGTGCCGCCCAGATGCAAGCCATGCTGCCCGCGTGGGTGAGATTTGATACTCCGCCATGCCATGCTGTCTTGTGCTGTTAGATTCGATGCTAGGTTGTGCTATGCCATTCCATGCCATTCCCTTTCGTGTTTTGCCATTTATTTGATCCCAAGCTACGCCGTGCTATGTCATGTCATGCCATGCCATGCCACACCATGCCATACACGAGCATTATTAGAATGCAATCCAGTTCAGCTGGCTACGCAGCAACCATTCTTCGCTTCTCTCACTGCTACCACCTTCCTCCCAACCTTTCCCTCTTCTTCCCTCCATAACCGTAACCCAAAATACCTGGCACGTGCACCACAGGCGTTTGAGTACCGCCGGCTGGTGGTGGACGGCAGCAGAGCCGTGCGCCTCGCCACACACGCCACCATGACCATGCTTGTCAAGGGCGTGGGGTGAGTTGCCGTGGTAGACGGAGTGGAATGGAATGTCAGTGTGCTCTGATCTGAGTAGGTACATCGCATGCACCACAGCACAGCACACTCCCCCGTGATTTCGCTCCTGCCACGAATTTTGAGCAGCCTTAGAAATCAGCACACTCGCCCGTGACGGCACTGCTGCCACGAGTTGCTCCTTCCAGATGATGTTTCAGTCGACTCAAACGCCATGCGCACCCTTTCCTCGGTTCCTCCTTTCTTTGGGCAGCAAGGGCTTGGCACCGCATGTGAAGCAGGTGATGGGGGCGTGGTGGGTGGCGCAGTTTGACTCCTCCCGTGACGTCGCTGCTGCCGCCACCCTCTCATTCCACTTCGGTGAGTGACATGCCTTACCCGCTGCCCACGCCGCTGCCCACGCCGCTGCCCACGCCACTGCTTACACCGCTGCCCATGCCGCTGCCCACGCCGCTGCTTACACCGCTACCCATGCCGCTGCCCACGCTGCTGCCTACGCTTTTGCCCATCCTGCTGCAGCTGCTGTGCGCTTCTCGTCCACCCCCGCTTGTCTTCTCCTTCTTTTCCCCCACTCCCTCCTTCCCACACAGCCTTCCCCACGCCACGCCCACACGTCGCATTCGCGTGGGAGGTAGTGGTGGGTACCCTGGCGGAGCTGCTGCCCTCTGCTCGTCCATCCCCGCTTGTCTCTTCCTTCTCTCCCCCCCCCATTCCCCTTCCTCCAGACAGCCTTCCCCACGCCCACACGCCGCATGGAAGCGTTGGCGTTCGCGTGGGAGGCGGTGGTGGGCACACTGGCGGAGCTGCTGGCGGCCACCCCCCAGTCGCTGGCCGCTGCTGACCGTAGCCTGAGTGTAGAGGAGGCGAAGCACCGCCTGGATGAGGTGAGGCGGGGATGAGGGTGTGGATGAGGGTGTGGATACGGTTGGTCGTTGCAGTGGTGTCCTCGTGGGTCCGTGTGCGCCCAGCCATTGTGCCCAGGTGGGCTCTGAGTCCACCCAACGGTGTCCCCCACTCACTGCCTGCTGCCCACTGCTCTCTCCGTGCTGACGGATGAAACACCACCTGGACGAGACGGGATGTGGATGACGGTGGGACAGGTGAGATGGGTGAGAGGGGACAGGATGGACTCCTAATGGGGGTGAGGAGAGGGGTCGAAGTGAGGAGCTGGGAGACTAGCAAGAAATGCTGCTTGTAAAGCGCAGACCTTCTTTTAATCTTACCAATCACCATACCCACCCACCCCCTGTCCACCCCGTATGCACCCATGCCTCTCCGCACCTCCTCCCATCCATGCCTGCCCCCAACCTCCGCCTCACCTGCAGCTGCTGTGCGCAGCTCTACTGGCTCTGAGGGCGTTCCTGCAGGCGCTGCTGCCGCCGTCGCCACACACGGGGGCTGCTGCTGGCGGTGCAGCCGCAGGGGGGACAGCAGCAGCAGTAGAAGCCCCTACAGCAAGAGTAGGATCAGCAGGAGCAGCAGAGGCAGGGGCGCCAGCACCATTGCCCCCCTCTGTGGTGGCAGCCCAGCCGCGCATAGCGACGTCCCTCCTGGCCTCCCTGCGCGCCCTCTCCTTCCTCCGCGCCCTCGCCAAGCACCCCTCCCCCCGCGTGCGCTCCGCAGCCTACCACGCACTGCCAGCTGTCCTGCTCTCATTGGGCCTGCGGGAACAGGAGCAGGAGGGAGAGGGCGTGAGCAGCGAGTGGGGAGAGAACCAAGGGGGAGGGGGAGCAGGAGGGGAAGGCGGAGGGAGGGAACGGGGAGGTGAAGTGGAGATGATGGGGGAGGCGGAGGTGGTAGAGAAGGTGGGGCCAGTGGTGGCGGCAGCCATGGGGGAGAAGGTATCGCCATGCCATGGCGCCATGTGGGAGCTTGTGCTTGTGGCCTCGCGCACCTGCCCCTCCCTCTGGGCCAACCCTCCCTTTCTTAAATCCGCTCTGCCGAAGCTCTGGGGTTTTCTCCGAGCCGGGTGTTTAGGCTCGGCAGCGCAGTCGTACCCGTGCCTGCTGCCACTGCTGTCGGTGTTCTTCCGAGCCAGGCTGCACCAATCACAGGGTGTGCTGATGCCGTTCTTCAGTAACCTGTGGCAGGGTCGGCTTGTCCACATGGCGCGACCTGATTGGCTGGCGCTGCTGACGTGTGTGAGGGAGTGCTTGGTGCTGAGTGTGGTGCAGCTGAGGCGAGACGAGGAGGGGAAGGCAGAGGGGGAGGAGGAGGAGGAGGTTGGGGAAGGGGAGGAGAAGGAGGGTGGGAGAGAAGGAAAGGTAATATCTGCTGCGGAATTAGTGAAAGTGGTGTTGTGGGACTTATGCTTCCTGGACCTCCTTCCCGAGCCTAGGCACCCAGGCTCGGACCGAGGTTCGGATCTGCACGGACTAGAAGAGACGGAGGGCAGCGGTAGGAAGGGCGAGGGGGGAAGGGGAGGAGTGGCAGCGGGTGAGAGGAAGTGCGGGAGTGCTTGGCTGGGAGCGGTGGTGGCGTGTGTGGGAGACACAGTGGGGCAGATAGTGCAGGTGGAGAGGGGGAAGGTGTGGAAGGGGGCGGAGAGGAGGAGAAGGAAGGGCAGGGAAGGGGCGAGGCACAGAGGGGGTCTGTTCTGGAGGGCTTCTGGTCGTGTGTGGTGGATGCGGTGCTGGCTGCTGCTGCTGTGCCGCCTCCTGCTGACGCTGCCAAGGAGGGCACAGGGGAGGGTGGAGTGGCGCTGCTGAGGCGTGCGGTTAATGGCAGGGAGCGCTGCTGCTGATGGCGGTCGCAGCACTGGCAGGGACACGAGCGACGGCAGCACAGTGCAAGCAGTGCTATCGCTGCTGCAGCAGCTGAAGCCCACAGCAGCAGCAGCAGGGCCTGCAGGAGAGGCATCAGCAGCAGCAGGCGGTGTGAGGGGCAATTGGAAGCGTATGGAGTGGGTGGTGCCGGCGGTGGTGTTACCTCTCATGCACCGACTGCTGCCCCTCGCACTCGCGCTTCCCTTCCCGTCCTCTCTCCTCCCGTCCTCTCCTTTTTCATCCTCCCACACCCGCATGGAAGCTGCAGCAGCCGTGGCAGCAGCGCTGGTGGACATGTTTGGAGCACCAGCCATCCCATGCCAGCTGGCAGCGCATGATTGGACGGGCAGCGCAGCTGCCATGGAAAGCAGTGGCAGTGGTGGTGGGCACACGACCCACCTGCAGCTGTTGGACTTGCTGCTGGCAGAGGTGGAGGTGGCGGCGGGAGAGGGTGCGAGTGGCGGTGCGGCTGGGAGGGCAGGCATGGCTGTGTTTGTGCTGCACGTAAAGCTCCTCTCGCACCTCGCCCTGCTCCCACCACCACACAGTATCAGCAGCGGGCCAGGCCATGGTGGAGCGGAATCAGGAGCAGCAGAGGGCGAGGTGTGCCTGTCACTGATCGTGCAGCGCCTGTGCACTGCTGCCCTCCACCAGGCCAAGGCGAAGGAGTCTGATGGTGTAGGCACCATGTCACTCAACATGCCCGCTTGCCTCCTTGCTGGACTTCTCTCCTCGCTCTCCACCCCCTCCTCTCCCCTCGCCCCCACGGCCAGCACCGCTCTTGACCGCTTGGCCATGCACATGGTGGCATCCACGCCGCTGCTGCTCCTCCCCTCCTCCCAGTGGCTCCTCCGAACGCTCCTCTCCCCTCCTGCTGCTGCTCCCGCCCCGCTCTCTCTCCCCTCCTCACGCTCCTGGCTCTCCCTCTCCTGCCTTGCCTCGGTCTTCGCCTCTCTGCACTCGCACCTGCTCTCCTCCCTCCTCGTGCTCTCCTCCTCCCCCTCCCTCCACACTCTCACTCTCATGCTGCAGCCGCTGCTGCTGCTGCTGAGGCGAGCGGGAGGTGATGAGGGAGAGGAAGCGGAGGCAAGACCATTAGGAACAGCAGATTCAGGAGGAGGTGAGGGGGATGCCACGTCAGCACAGGCTGAGCTGGCAGCGTGCCTGGACGTCCTGGAGCCCCTGTGGTCCGCCTCGCACGCGTCTGCCAGCAGCACAGGCTCTGCTGAGCTGTCGCGTGGTGATTGGCTGGTGGTGGCAGCTGCTTGCTCGTCTTACATTGTAAGCTGGTGCCTGGGAGGGGGGGAGCACGACACAGGGGATCAGGCGGGAAGTGAGGAGGAAAGCGAAGAGGATGAAAACGAGGAGGAAGAGGAGGAGGAGGGAGAGGAGGGGCTGGAGTTGGAGGAGGAGGAGGAGGAGGGGGAGGAGGAGGGGCAGTGGGGGAGGGGGGGTATATGGAGAAGGGACTGGGAGCAGCAGTGGCAGTAGGAACAGCAGGGGGAGAAGCATTGGGTGCAGCAGGGGTAGAAACAGGAGGTGGAGCAGCGATGGGCGTGGGGGCAGCTGGGGCGGGTGCTGGGGGAGGGAGTGAGGTGGCAGGGCTCACATCCACGGGTGCTGACGTGGCAGAGCATGTGGTGGTAACCGTGTTACCAGCCCTGCATGCTGCAGCCAACCAATGGTTGTCGCTCGTCTCACACCCTCCTGCCACCACTGACACTACCCATGCTTCATCAGCCACCCTCACTGCCCCTACGCCAGTAGTTACTTGCACTGCACGCCTGCTCACTCGCTCTCTTGCCGCTGCTGCTGCCTCTCCTCTCTCCCACTGCCGCCCACACCTCTGTGCGCGCTGGACGGCGGATCTTGTCCGTTTCTTCCAGCTGCAAGGCGGGAAGGAGGCGGTGGAGAGGCGTGTGATTGGGTGGCTTCTGGCGGACCTCGAGTTGATGGGTGGAGGGGATCAGAAGTGGCCTCGTTTTGTGGGTCGCGTCACTGACTCTTCTGGCACGGCTGCTTCCCGTGACAGTGATACGTCAGGGTCCAGTCACATTGACAGCATCATAAACGCACTGCCGCCCCCTCCTCATCCCTCCTCCACAATCTCCCAACCCCCCTCACACCTCCTCCTCTCCTCCCGCCTCCTCCATTTCCTCTCTCACCTCACTCACCTCCTCGGCCCGTCTGCCGTTTTCTTCTGGCCAGCGGGCGGCGGGCAGGCGGCACTGGCGGTTGAAATGATGTGTGGGTGGCAGGAGGAGCACTCCCTGCGCCGCCACCATCACTCCAGCATCGCGCCACGTGGCAGCCTCTCATTGGGCGGGCTTGAAGGTGATGCCCTTGGGATTGGGCCGGCAGTGGTGGTGGAGCTGTTGGTGCGAGGGGCACGGCACGTGGGGGAGGAGGAAGAGGAGGTAAAAGGAAGTGTGGAGGGAGGGGCAGCAGAGGGAGCAGTAGAGGGCAGAGGGGAGGGAAGGCTTGTGAGCGAGGTGGTGAGTGTGTTGGTGCAAGTGGCGTCTCGAGGAATCGACCCACCTCGTGCCAGTGCTGCCACAGACACATCGCTGGCTCTGATGGCACTCTGCGGGCTTCTCAGAAGGTTCCTTGCAGCAGGGGCGTGGGGTCCACAGCAGGCTTGGCGGGTGGTGCGGCAGCAGCTGGGCTCACTGAAAGCAGCGAGGGAGGGCCGTGGCAGCTCTTGCCATGGGAATGGTGTCACGGTGGGAGGGCGAGGGAGAGTGCGCGTCGTGGCAGAGGTGGTGGGGATACTCATGCCTGTGGTGCGGTGGGGCGGGCAGGCAGTGGGGCCAGGTGAGGCAGCAGGGGGAGGTGCAGCAGTGGGTGGGGAAGGAGGGTGGAGAGGGGTATTGGAGCGGCAGGTGGAGGAGGAGGTGGTGTGGTGGGTGCAGCGAGCCAATGAGGCGCTGCCACTTGTCGCGTGTGTGGAGCAGCAGAGTGCGGAGGCAAGAGGTGAGTGGTGGCCTGACGGTTAGCCATGTCATGGTGCCTCACATGCCTCGCTAGTGCCTGATTGCCATGCACCACATCACACTGTGCCACATGCCCGCGTTTCTGACCGCATGGGCATCAGCATTCACAATCCGTTCTGATTCCCCCCACTGCTATCCAAAGTCTAACCATCTCCTCCTTTCCCCCCCCCTTCCCCTATCCATCCTCCTTCCCCCCAATCTGTGCAGACTCGCTCGCCCTCCACGCCCTGGCCGTGGCGCTCTTTCCCATGCCACCATCATCTGCTCCCTCCTCCACCCCTCTCGAGGCCCACTCCCCCGCCACCACCAGCAGCCCCTCCCAGCGCGCCGCCCTGCTCGCCCTGCTGCGCCTGCAGACCTCCCGCCACGCCACCGCTGCCATCGCTGCTGCTGCCGCCGTTGCCCGCCTCGCTGCTGCCGCAGCTGCTGCTGATTCAGGCAGCGTGGGGCCTGGGGGGACGAGTGCAGGGAGCAGTGGTGCGATGAGGGGTGCCGGGGGTGTGAGTGCGGACGTGGGAGAGGGGGACGAGTTAGATGATCTAGACGAGCTTGATGAATTGGATGAGCTGGACGAGGTTGGCGGCGGTGCTCCAGCTGGCAGTGATGACGTGGCACTTGACGAGCTTGATGAGCTGGACGAGGAGGAGGAGCAGGCTGGTGGGGGGGAAGGAAGGGCGGCGCAGGTGCAGAGCAGTGCCGGTTCTGCAGCCACAGGGGCGGAGGCAGCACAGGAGAGCACACAGGAGGGCGGGCAGGAGAGCAGGGAGGAGTGGACGGCACAGGTGGATCGCTGCCTCCTCGCCCTTGCCAGCTCAGCAGTGGCGTACAGCTGGCAGGAGATGGCGGAAGCTGACGTGGCGTTTGTGGGTGCCAGGTTGCGGCGGGCGCTTGCAGCAGCAGCCATGGCGTTTGAGGAGCTGGTGGAGGCGATGGGGGAGGGGGTGGGGGAGGGAGGGGGTGTAAAAAGGAGAACCGCAGGGGAGAGTCAAGCAGGGGAGAGACAAGCAGGGGAGGGGCGGGCAGGGGATGAGTCGGGGAGGGTGAGTGGCATGGCAGGGCGGCTGGAGGCCATGCCATTGGACGTGGCAGGTGCTGCTCTCTCGCTGCTCTCCATGCTGCTCGCCCTCCACTCCCACGCCTCTGCTGCTCCCACTGCCTCCCCCACCAGCAGCAGCAGCATCTTCTCGCTCTGGGCGTCAGCCTCTGCGTCTGCATCCCCGTGGGCACTGTGGGCATCGGAGGCGAGTGCATCGGTGGTACGGCAGGGGTCAGAGCATGCCTTGCGCATCTTCATTGCCACGGGGCTCGCAGAGGCCGCCCTCCCTCACACCAGCGCTGCCACCAGTGCAGCCGACAGTGCCACCAGCAGCCAGCCCATGATGGCCTGGCGCCTGCAGCATCCTCTTTTCTTCCGCCAGCTGTCGCGCGCAGTGCTCGCCGCCCCTCCCCGGGCGGTGGAAGCAGCGGTGCGGGCGGCGGAGATCTGGGGGGCGGGGCGAGGGCCAATCGCAGGGCTGTATGCGCTCATGTGCGGCCCGTCACCAGGTGGCAGCGTGCGATTGGCTGCATTCTGGTGTCTATCTAGGGAGCAGGTGTTGCCTGCTGCCGTGGGGGCAGGGGTGGTGAAGGGCGGAGGAGAAGGGGAGACACATGGAGAGCCAGTTGGTGACGGTGTCAGACCTGAGCTGGCACAGCTCTTGCAGCCGGCCAATCGGAAGGAGCTGCTGATGTCAGCTCTGACGTCACCGCAGCGGGTGCGGTTCTTCCTGGCAGCATGCCTTGTGCTGCACCGCATCCAATCCCTCCCCGCCTCCCCCCCATCCCCACCTCCCTCCACCGCAGCCCCCTCTGCAACATCGCCATCATCCCCTCGCGACCGCCTCGTTGCCTTCATCCAAGCCACACCCACTCTCACTCTCCTCCTCGACCTCGTTGCTCAAAACCTCCTCCTCGCTCCCTCCCCCTCACACTCCTCCGCCTCTGCCCGTCGCCTCATCCATCTTAACCCCTCAGGACCCCTCCCTCCTGCCGTTGCTCAAGCCGGTGACTTTGCCACACGGGCAGTTGCCCAGGCTTCGCCTCTCGACGTGGCGCTGGAAGTCTTAACCCTGCTCGGGGCAGGAAAATTATCAGTGCCACGGATGCGCAGCCTGGCAGCAGCGGTGTTTGGGGCAGCACTGCGAGTGGTGCCAGGGGGGGTGAGGCGGTGGTATGCGGATGTGAGGGAGAAGGGAGTGCGGCGGGGCATGGACATCTTTACCGCCCGCTACTGCAGCGCTCACTTTATCGCCCTCGAACTCGCCCAAGTATGCATTCCCGTACTCGCCTCCCCCATTATCGCATACCTTGTATTTTCCATTGTGTTACTGGTCCACCAAGTGTCTAGCCACACCCCCCCTTTCCTCTCCGAAATCTGCCCAGCCGCATCTCGTTCTTTTGCCGCTTACCCCCTCCATCCTTAACCCCTCCCCTCCCTCACCCCTTTCCCCCCTTCACCCTCTTCCCTCCACCAGGCGCAGAAGGCGGGCAGCAGCAAGGAGGACCTGACGGTGCGCACGCGGCGGTCAGCACGCGAGGTGTGGGCGGCGTACTGCAAGGACGAGGCCAGGCTGGAGCTCGTCATCAAGCTGCCCGAAAGCTACCCACTGCGCGGGGCAGCTGTCGAAAGTTCCAAAGGGGCAGGCGTGAAAGAGGCCGAGATGCGCAAGTGGCTGCTGGCAGCTAACTCGTTCCTGCTGTTGGGAGGGGGGTCAGTGGCAGATGCAGTGGTGCAGTGGTGTGAGTGCGCAGAGAAGAAGTTTGAAGGGGTGGAGGATTGCCCCATCTGCTACAGTGTTATCCACTCATCCAATGGCAGCCTGCCACGTCTGCAGTGCCGCACGTGCAAGCACAAGTTCCATCCAGAGTGTCTCTACCAGTGGTTCCAATCCTCCCACAAGTCCACCTGCCCGCTCTGCCAGACATCCTTCTAGTTTCAGCTGGCCTACGTCCTCATATCCAAGACTTCAGGTGGGGTTCAGCAGCTTTGGGGTGAACCTTGCCTGCTTCTTTGACTGGTTCCGTCGCCTCTATGGATGAGCCCCACGGTAGTGTCCCATCGAACCCCATAGGTATAAAGGAAAAGAGGTATTCTATATAGAAAGACGTTAAGGAAATGTACCGTCACATGGAACCTACAGGCAAGGAAAAGGAGGCACAGACAAGTTACATACTATTTACAGACAATTCCAGCATGGCATGAGAATGCCCTACTGGGCTCAGTGGCGACAGTGTAGCACAACTTGAGACCGTAGTACCCCTCATCAGGTGGCAAGCTGGCTTCAAGTAGAGGGCGAGAAGAGCATCTGGAACTGCTTCACCTTCTGCACGTAGTTCACCATGGCGACCTCGATGCTCAGGCCTGCAGGAAGGCGAACAAAAGAGTTAGGATTGATTGACATGGATGGAATGGCATATTCATGGACGTCGATCCATGCATCAATCCACAGAAGTCTCCCTCTTCAGGGGTCATGCAATGCAAGCTGACCTGCGAAGTCGCGCCAAGCCTGAAGTTTCTCTTGGTCGTCAGTGTCCACGTCATCTTCTGAGCCTGCACAGCAGTCCGTGGTAACGTCAGCTTCATTTCTAACAAAATGTGCGAGCAGACGACGACGGAATGCGCAGACAAATGTGAAGTCGAGACTATTGTGAGTGAACAATGAGTTCGTGTTACGTTTTGCGACACCTGACAAAGTGGAAGCGAGACCTTGGTCGCAAAATGCAAGCGAACGAAAGACGTACACAAAGTGATGCTGCCTGCAGTCGCCTGCTTGTACAGCCCGTAGAGAACCAGCTGGTACGGCCGTGCTAGCACGGGATTCAGCTTCTTCGCTCCCTCAACAGACGCAAGGAAATCGGCCTGAATGGACGAACGCACGTCACTGAGAAGCCGCGTCACGCAGCAGGGACGAAAGAAGAACGAACGGAATCATGCTGCGATACATCGGTACCATGCGCTTTCTGTACCTCTAGGCTCAGGTCGCATGCTGCCTCCGTGAATGGCTCGGCCCGACAGGCCAACGCATGCGGAACTGCAGGCGACTCCCATCGTTCGCGAACATATGCTGCCATGCGCCCAACCTAGGTAACGATGCTCCACAGCGCAGCTCTCAATTCTTTCAGCATAAATGGAATGGGCTGTCAAAACTCGCAAGCATTCCTAACGATACTAGAACGGACATTCTAGGAGGAGCAATGCATGCAATTCTGGCTGAAAGAGAATTCTTGGTGAGCTGGGCTGGCTGGCATGCGCATGACGAATGGCGGGAAACCTACGCTTGTCAGGCTGGGTCACCTCGAAAGTGACGGAATTATGGCACAATACTAGCGCTTCTGCAGTGTTCTTCGCTCATGCTATTTAGCAGAAGATTCAATAAATGCAACCAGCATATACGGTAATAAACTTTTGTGCAATGTTCACATGCTGTTTGGCTAATCCATACACTGACATATAGGGTTTCTATTCTTGAAATCTTAGCCTTTCCTGTAACCTTATGTGCCTTCTCCCTGATCTGATGGCTGGGGTAGACCTCCCACCCAGCTGCACTTTGCATTCCTATACCACACCAACCAAAGCCCAAAAACAGATGCATAAGAAACCCTTCCTCCCTCCTGTAGTTAAGAAATCCATCTGTAGATACAGTACTTGCTTACGGAATGGAACTGTAACGTAATTCAGATGTGCAAATTTTGCAGACCCTTAGAATGCATCTCACACACACAGACATGTCACACGTGCCGTGCCAGTATATATGCGGCATTATTCAATGAGTGAGAACTTCACACGCCTCCCCAACATCCTCGGGTCTTGCAGCAATCCAGGAAACGTGGGTGGTTTTGCACCATAGTCCAAAACAGAAGAGTAACTCCCCGCGCTACCAAGACTGCTGCTGCTGCTGTAACCACCTGTACTGGTACTGCGAGGACATGTGGGGGAAAGAGCACTAGTTTGGGGAGGAGCCACTGCCGTGCTGGAGCCCTCAAGTATCCACATTCGACCCACACGCTCTTTCGGCGAGGTGGCTTTCTTTGGAGACCGTGGGCCATATTCACCTGCACTCGCGGAGTGCGGAAGCCCAGTCGGCGCATGCTCCTGTGCCCTTGAAGCACACGCACTGAGGTTGCTCTCCGACCGACAGGAGGGGATCCTGCGTGAAGCAGATTCGCCGACTTTGATGCTGCCGCTGCTCCTTCTCCCCCCCGGCTTGCTTGGCTCCTGGTCCGTTGCTTCCTCGTCGTTGGACCTCGTTTTGGTGCTGTTGAGGCAGTTGCACGTGCTGCTCATGCTGGCGCTCCTTACAAGCACACCATCGGGGGTCACATGGTGCTGGTGCTGCCGCACGCCCATCATCCATGCTTGCTGCTGCACCTTCATCCGCTCGCTCTGCACCTCTCTCGCTGCAAGCTTCGCCGCGTCCTTGGAGATCCTCTCCTTGTCTTTCTGCAGCGCTTCCCTCTCCCGCTTCAACTCCTCCCGCTCCTTCCTCACCTCCTCCTTCTCCCTCCCCACAGCCTCCCTTTCCTGTGCCAACACTGCTCGCGACCACTCCAGCGACACTCGGGTTCTTTGCGCTGTTGCGCGTTCCTCCCTTCGCTTTGCCGCTGCCACGTCATCGGCTTGGGACCACGCTTTCAGCACCGCTTCCAGCTCCTTCGCCAAGTCGTCTCGTTCCGACGCCAACACGCGGGCGGCTGCTGTGGCTTCATTCGCTGTGCGCTCCGCTGAGCGCAACGATTCTGCACAGAGAAAAACGGATTGCACACTAAGCAAATTGTACAAAGACAGAACCGATACGAGTCACGAAGAGTAAGAAATCACCCCAAGAGGATTGCACAACGATCGAGTTTATTGATTTTAGACGCTGAGTTTGAGTCGTCCGAAACGCGTCTCGAGCCCAATCATGATGATCGTGACTCACCGGAGAGCAATTTGTTGATTCGCACACATCGCTCCAGCTGCGTCCTCAGATCGTCAATCTCGCGTCGCAGTCGTCGCATCGACACCGACCCGGCGTCCGAATCCTCCTCGCCATCCGTCGCTTCGTTTCGGACCGCCGCCGCCGTGTCGTCGTCCTTCAAACGGGCTTTGCGGGGGAGGGTGCGCTCCAACGGATCCGACGCCGCGACGCGCGATGCGTTCAACTGAATCGCTTTAATAGAGGACGCAGAGGAAGCAGAGGAAGCGGAGGACGTGGAGGAAGTGGGAGAGGTTGGGATTGTCGCGTTCGGACCCACCGAGTCGCGTGCCACGCGATCGCTAATGCTTCGGATCATCGCCTTTGCGCCACCATGCTTACGGCTCTGCGGTCCCTCACGACCCGCATCTGCCGCTTCGAGAGGAAACTCCCTCGACCAGTTATCACGGCTCTTGGGTTCGCGGTTTTGTATGCCGCTCTCTGCGCCGCGGGTTCCGCTGGTTCCTTGCGACGCACCCTTTTCCGGCGTGCGGACTCTCGGCGTCGCCGCGTCCACCGCCCCGCCTCTGTCACCCACCAGGAGCCGCATCGCGAGGCGCCTAGGGAGGTCGCGAGGCGACACGGTTCAGTTACTTAAACAAGCGTCGCACGGAATATTATCAAGAGAACGGCAACTGGATTTCATGGCTGAAGGAGTGCTAGTGGATGGCGACATAAGAGAGAGCGTGCTCTGCGGGGAGTGGATAGGTAGAACGGAGATGCTGAAGAGGGTTCCTATATAGCGGGAGAGCGAATTGGAGAGGAACGAGTCAGCGGACGACGTTTTGCGATGGGACCTGATCGGAGACCGCCGATCTATGGTGGCCATGTCAGTTACTCAGCTGCCCTGTAAGTAAATGTATTTGAATGCCACAGCGGTGGAGTGAGTCATCGAGGAAGCGGCCAAAGCTAGGAGCAGGCGGAGCAGCACGACGAACTGTAAGAGGGTGAGACAAATGGGCGCTGTAGAATGCTGAGTTCAAATTTCACAATCTTCTCCACATGGGCAACCTTGACGTGACGTGGTGGTTCGCTCGACGAGGAGTGAAGAGTGGGGTGGGGAGGGATGGGGGAGGGTTGAATAACATCACAAAGGTATGAAGAATGTAAGAATGCAGCTATGGCAGGAAGAATGCAATCCAAGCAACTGCCAGTGCGGTGATTGCTATTCCTGACAACTCTCAGGTCGCGCCTCGATCGCACTTCTTCCGCTTCGTCGCTGCGCTTCGATCACTTGCGCTTCTGGGCTTTCCGCCTTCCATTCCATCTCCCTCCTCCCCTCCCCGTCGATCCCCCTCCCCCTTTCTACTCTCCCCGCTCGCCACGCCCAGGCCACTCGACTGTCATATCATGTCGGTCTTCTATCACTTCGAGTTGTTGCTGGTAGAATTTATCACAGAACGACGACCTGACATAACTCCCTAAGTTTAACGACGAGCTGACATAACTCCCCAAGTTTTTGTGACTGCCCGATCGATTGAAAGCTGAACTGGTACTGGTACGTATTTAGCTTCCTATTCAGACTTCCATTAGAAACCCATTATTGCTAGTAGGTGCAATGAGCACAAAAGAATGAACTATGACCGGAACTATGACTGCACAGCCACCAAGAAGGGATTCAGCTCTGCATTCCCTCACGCAGCCTTTTATAATACAAGCACGGATCTGTCAATGATGCTCGCCCCATGGGCAGTAAATGGACACTTGCATGTCACTGAAGGTACGCAGAGAAAATGCACAAAAAGACGGTAAACAGAGACACACAAACACACACGCACACTACACACACACACAACACACTCACACGCCTACTCTACTGCATCAGTCATCAGTCAATGAGAGTGAACTTCACACGCCTCCCCGATATCCTCGGGTCTTGCAGCAATCCAGGAGACTTGGGTGGTCTAGCACCATAGTCCAAAACTGAAGAGTAACTTCCAACACTACTGAGACTGCTGCTGCTGTAACCACCATTGCTGTTACCGCGAGGGCTCCTGGAAGGGGGCGAATGAGCGCTGGTTCGTGGACTCACCCCCGCCCCAGGGCTCTCAAGACCCCACGATTGGCCCACGCATTCTTTTGGCGACATGATGCTCTTCTGCGACGAATTCACGTATTCGCTCATGCTTGCGGAGTGCGGAAGCCTACTCGGAGCATGCTCTTGCGACTTGGAAGCACACGCAGCCAGGCTGCTCTCTGATCGTGAGGAGACCATCCAATGACTGCCAGACGCGCCGCTCTTGGTGCTGCCGCTGCTCCTGCTCCCCCCCTGCTTGCTCGGCTGCTGCTTCGTTGCTCCCTCGTTCGACCTGGCATCGTTGATGCATCGGGTGCTGCTCAGGCAGCTGCACGTGCTGCACGTGCTACACGTGCTGTTCATGCTCACGCTCCTTAGAAGCACACCGTCGGGAGTCACATGGTGCTGGTGCTGCCGCACGCCCATCATCTCCGCCTGGCGGTGCGCCTTGCTCCACTCCATATGCACCTCTTGCGCCGCCCGCCCCGCCGCAATCCTCTCCTTATCTTTCTGCAGCGCTTCCCTTTCCCGCTTCAACTCCTCCCGCTCCCTCTTCACCTCCTCTCTCTCCCTCCCCACCGCCTCCCTCTCTTGAGCCAACACCGCGCGCGCCCGCTCCAGTGACGCGCGGCTTCGTTCAACCGACGAGCGCTCCTCCTCCTGCTTCGCCGCCGCCGCGTTATCCGCTTGGGACCACGCGTTCAACATCTCCTCCAGCTCCTTCGCCACGTGGTCCCGTTCCGCTTCCGCCACCTTCGCGGCTGCCGTGGCTTCCGCCGCAATGCGCTCCGCAGAACGCAACGACTCTGAAAAGAGAAAAGCGAGAAGAAGGGCACAGGCGAAAAAACAGGGGTAAGAAAAAACATCCTGAGAAAGTACGATAATCAAACTAAAACTCGCTAGGTGACGGCACGATCAAAATGGGAAATGCCGCATCACGGTGTCTTACCGGTTAGCCACTTATTAATCTTGGAGCATCGTTCGAGCTGTCTCCTCAGCTCGTTCATCTCGCGCCCTAGGCGCCGCATGGACACCGACGCGTCCGATGAATCCCCCTCCTCCGCGTCCGTCCCGTCGCGGCCCGTCGCCGTCGATCCAGCGTCAGTTTCCTCGTCGCCGTTCAAGCGGCTTTTGCGGGGGAGGGTGCGCTCCAACGGCTCCGACGCCCCGACGCGCGACAGGTAACGGCCTTTGGGCGACGCGGTCCGCTGTACCCCATTAGGAGTAGAGGCGGAGGAAGCGAGGGACGCGGGGGAAGCGGGGGAGAATGGGGTTGTCGTATCAGGACCCACGTGCTCGCTGATGCTGCGAAACATTGCCCTGGAGCCGCCATTACGGCCCTGCGGCCCTTCGCGACCCGCTTCAGCCTGAAGGCAGAACTCCCTCGAAAAGTCGCCGTTTAACAAGTCGCGGTTGTATGTGCCTGGGGCATTTACGCTACACCTTCCACTGCTTCCCCGCGGAACACCTTTTTCCGGCGTGCGGACCCTCGTCGTCGCCGCATCCACCGCTCCGCCGCTGTCGCCCACCAGGAGCCGCATCGCGAGGCGCCTTGGGACGTCTCGAGGCGACGCGAATCCGTGACTCGAATCGGCGTCGGAAGGAATCTCAAGGGAGCGGCGGCCGGTTCTCATGGCGGAAGGAGTACTAGAGGACGAGGACATGGGAGAGAGGGTGCTTCGCGGGGAGTGGCGGGGGGGAAGCGAAGAGTAGGAGGGGTCGTTCTCGGCGAGGGTTTCGACGAAGCGGGAAAGCGAGTCGGCGAGGAACGAGTCTGTGGACGGCGATTTGTGATGAGACCGGGACCGTCTCGAGAAAGCGGGGCGGCGGTCAGTAGTGGCCATGTCAGTTACCCAGCTAACTACAGCCTATGGGAAAAGTGATTTGGAGGAGAGAGTCAAGTGGAATCAACAAATGCACATCTGTGAACATCAGCGGACTTGCTGAAAACTTGTGCCTCTGTGAGAACCGAACAGCAATGAGCATCGATGACTTGGGGGAAATGAAGCTGTACAATGCTCTCAGACCCGCACAGCCTCCCTTCATAAATATCCTAGGCCGTGTGATTCGGATTCCTCCTGTTGGAGCACAAACAGGGACTGTGGCTCGCTGGTTCATTCCACAGGGCGGGGCAATTTGTGGAAGAGAAGTGTGAAAATCAAAAGCCCCAATCCTCATCCAGCCAGATGCGGCGAGGGCCACAGAAGCATGTGGGCTTCGACCGCGATTCGAGGAGCAGCCGAAATGCATGCAGCTGCCTCCTCCCACTCCATGCAACGACGACTCGTCTGCTGTGTACTGTAGTGCGCTGCTGATCTGAGCAGGCACGCCTAGCACCTCCGTGACGCTTCCCTCCCCCTTCTTCCCGCGATCAGCCCCCCCACATCCACTCGTTGGGGCTCAAGGTAAACATCCTGAATGTCAGGTGAATTCCATATACTTCTGAGGGCGCGTTCCTGGCTCGTGTCAAACTTCCAGTCTTCCGGGGATGACACGAAGCTCGCCCCACAGCTCGCCCCACTTCGGGTCTTCCCGCAAACATTCGCCCCTGGATCGGAAAACACGAAGTTTGGCCGGAAGTTTGACACGCGCCAGGAACGCACCCTGACTCTACAATTCTGAATTCGAGGTATTCAAAATAATCCGGCCCAGAACTCGGAGGCTTAAAGCCCGCGTCCCAAATTGCGGGGCGCGAGAGTCAAGTTTTTAAAACTTGACGAAGTGGAGTGTCCAAGCTTTTGAAAGTCACGCACCTGCAATTTGGGACTTTCGAAGACAGACCCACTCACCTCACCAGGGGGAAAAACGAGGGTTGGTTGAGTCTCGCGAAAAAAACGAACCTAGACGAAATTGGAAACTCTCGCCAAAGCCAACGCCAGAAAAAGTCCCTCTGGCCATCTTTTAAAAGCATGAACAATTTGGGCTGCCGGCTTTAAGTATGTTTCGTAAAAATTTAGGAAGTATCCTCGAGTACAGGTTGTTGCATACCACGTCGACAGCCAAAATGTCATCTCAAGTACAGTTAAAGCCGGCAGCCCAAATTGTTCATGCTTTTAAAAGATGGCCAGAGGGACTTTTTCTGGCGTTGGCTTTGGCGAGAGTTTCCAATTTCGTCTAGGTTCGTTTTTTTCGCGAGACTCAACCAACCCTCGTTTTTCCCCCTGGTGAGTGGGTCTGTCTTCGAAAGTCCCAAATTGCAGGTGCGTGACTTTCAAAAGCTTGGACACTCCACTTCGTCAAGTTTTAAAAACTTGACTCTCGCGCCCCGCAATTTGGGACGCGGACTTTAAGTTGAGTGTGGCCCTTCACCATTTTGGAGGGGTGTTCAGAGCTTGTTGCCGTCTCTAGTGCATTTTCAGATTGCCATCGAGTATGCCCGAAGGTCAGAGCATTCTGGAAAAGCACACGGGCGCGGCTGAAAACATTTTGCGGGAAAAACTGGATTTTGCCATAGCCATCTGTGCCTTCAGAAACGAGAAATGCATTTTCAATTTCCCAGTTTCGTTCCAGAAACGAGATAACACACAACAGCCATCAGATCAATCCATACTGAGGACGTGGTACAGAATGGGGCGAACGATCGCGATCTACAGTCAACCGGGTCGGATCGGATCGAGCTGGCTGGGGTTGCCCCGATTTGACGCAATCTCTCGATCGCGGCCCATGCCACACGATCTGAAAGAAGAATTTCGTGGAAGTCTGTCACAACCAGTCGCAGGTTCCACCCACAGTTTGCAAGACCTAGCAAAGTTTGGTACCGCGCAATTATAACGTAGCTTCATATTGTCGCCCGATTGATAGATGTGCTTTTAGAAAGTTCTGATGTAGCGATATCTAATGCTGCTACAAGCAGGAGTGAGCTTAAAGTAGTTACTAAGCACGAGTGCCGCCAATCGTCGTGATCTGATTATAATCGATCGTATTCAATTGCATCAGATCGAGACGATTGATTTTGATCAATCGCAATCGAGAGATTTCCTCAAAATGCCCCTAGGGCTTCTTAGAATTGGTGGATGGCTTCTTAAGGACGTGGAACGGATCCAGATGATCTAAGGCTCATTGCAATAAATCGGACCGGATCGTCTCGGTTGTTTGCGATATGGCGAGACGATCATAAAGCACCACTACCGATTCTTCCATGCTAGTGATTCCGGCCTTCCACTTGAAAGTTAGCAAGAGTAAGCGAATTTCCGCATGTGACAATTACATCGTAGCCGCTTTTCCTAACCAAACGGCATTATGTGGTTCTAATGAAGGAGAATATACTAAACCAGCGAGATAAAGCGAACTTGGGACGGGCTAGTTACCAATCGCGCACGTCGCCATCAAACTCAATCTTGCGATCCCAATTGATCAGAATCACCGAATACCGTCTGTATCAGATTGAGGCAATTGATCGCGATCGATTGGGACATCGACTGCGATCGAGAGATGGCTCCCAATCTACTAAAACCAGCCCTCGGGGCTTCTCGTAAATTGTGGATTGCTTCTGATCGAGGCAGTCAGCCTCAGATCACCTTGATCCATTCCACGTCCTAATCAACTGTACAACAAATTAGTATTTCCGCCAGGTTCGATTATGTGGAATAGAGCCTGCAAATGCAGCATGAGTTTACAGTTCATGTCCAAAATTTCGAAGTTGTAACATAGGAGGCACAAAGAGCTACGCTACAAGATCTGTACGGATGACCACTCTACATACACACAGTGTGCGGGCTCACAAAAAAAAAGTCGAAGTCAAAAACCGACTGAATCCGCCCCTTGAGCGCGCCATGTCATCACTCATGTCGTTTTGCGTATTTGTCAGCGAAACTTCTGTTTTCTGGATTGCAAGCACTTGCCGAAGTACAATGCCATTTTTGTGGTGTGAATGGTGCCACCAAGCTTCTAGATTTTCCTCTCCCCCCAAGCTGTCGCAGTGACGTGGGATGCAGCCGTGGTCTCCCCAAACGTTTTTATCGGGCAGTGTTCGAGGTTTTCCAACGTGGGAGGTCAGGGCAGCCAAAGGAAACTGCTTCGGTAATACAAAGGCAAACTGGTCTGGCCGAACGTTTGAGGCGGATATCATTGTCCCCGAAAACCACACCGTGTAAATGGAACATGCTTGCCCTCTTTAACGGCTGATTTCGAGCGTCCGGGGAACTTTAAACTTTAAACATGATGAGGAAAAGCGCCCTTCACATTTTGCTTGTAGTCCAGAACGTGAATGATTCCATCGCCTACACAAGAACAACCAACCAACTGACGCAATGCAGCGCAACTGACGTCATCCAGCTGCCCGGGATAGCCGCCCAAAGAATCGTCATCACGTGTCAGAGGACTATCTCATTGCCTGAAATCCTCTGTTCGTTACATCACAAGAACAATGCCAGCAATGGATTGGCTGTACATTTCGCTGGCATTTGCACAGAAACAACACTGTTCTCATGGATAGTCCATCTGGAGGTTTGATCACGACACACAAAAATGTGCGATTCTGATTTTTATCATTGGGCGCGTAACGTCCTTGTCACATCGTGGGGTGTCGTCGAGGCCTCAGGATTACAGGTAATTTTACCCTGATTAGCCTGTTTTTCAGGGTCTTTCTTTGGGACCACACTGTAATTACAGGATTCAAGGGTTTTACCACCCTGTCACGATCAGACCTCGTGAAATTTTGACCCTTGTTTTGCAGTTGTTGGTTCTTGTAGCACACTGCCTTGGCCGAGTTAGGTAGTGGCCGCACTCTGACTGAGTTTTTCCCCCTCTGTACAAACTTAGCCAATCGAAAACTGGCGAAGTCCTTGCCACGGAGACACTCACACATACATCATGTCAAGCATCGGATCTGCTCAAAAACTGGTGAAGTCCTTTCCAGAGACACTCACACATACACCACATCAAGCATCGGATGTGCTCGAAAACTGGCTAAGTCATTTCCACGGAAACACCCACACATACACCGCGTCAAGCATCAGATGTGCTCGAAAACTGGCTAAGTCCTTTCCACAGAGACACTCACACAGATTGGACCACTGCAGCATAGTTTTTTTTTTTACCCTGCCATACCAGACCAGAAAATAGTCAACACCCTGCCATTTCCAGGGTACGACGCGGTAGCCACACTGTAGTGGCAGTGTGACTTAGACCTGGAACTTTGATTTGACAGGGTGGCCCAAAACGAATCAAGACCAGGCCTGTCGATTCAATGGCATTTGCCCTTAATGCCCTGAACATTCCGGGCGAACCTCTGGCCAGCTTCGGCATTTCAAAGGGCTGGTTTCGAGGGGAGCCTGTTTTTCTTGCGGGCTGATTTCGAGAAATTGGGGTATCAGCTCGGATCCGTTAAGGGCTGGTTGGGGGCCTTTCCCTGATTTCCCGAATCAGGAGTACAAGTATCCCTGCAAGTTGCCGAAGTGACCAGTCTACTCCCGCTCTCATCCTCCCCGTAACTCCCACACTATCTGTTACGAATAGTAACATTTAATTGTTACTGAGCACTCCTCACCGCAGCAAAGAGAAGCACGCAGTATCGAAGCAAGAAAGCGAACCGTCAGACGGTTGGAGTTTGACTCAAGTGTCAGACAGTTGGGGCGCATCTGGACCGTCGGAAGCAGACGGCATCGAACAGCTGCAGGCAGGATGTTTTTGGCGGGAACAGTTACGAAACTGTACGCGCCGCACGGTTGGGAATGCATTTGAATAAGGGAATGTACCCCTTAGAGTACATGACTAGCTAGGTCGTTTCGTCTTCCCTGTACTCATATTTATACTTGCTGTATTTGCATGTTTTAATCATCTCAAGCATTTTACATTCACTCTGCTATTGAGGTCACGGGCCCACCAACTACATTTCCCTGTGTGC